GTGCCTCATAGGACTACTAACTACTAGGCCAGCATGCTGGTGGCCAGAGATATGCAGCCACTACCAGTAAGAAACTGACAGGAAAACAGATGATTTAAACCATTTTTTTTTTACTGATAAAAAGCAGGAGATAGGTACAGTGATAAAGCTAAAAACTAAGTGTGAGAAGAGTGTACACAAAGTAACCACTAAAGATATAAGTGACAGAGAGAAATACTTTGAAATACGTTAGAAGCACGATTCCTAACTTTTAGCCACAATAGTGTGCATTTTTGCTGCCTCCAGCACCCATTACCCAAGCTTTCACTCTTTCACCTGGGAACTAGAGAACCCAGTGAGAACCGAGTCCAGGAAATGTGGAAGGCAACTAATCGCCTCATAAATGTAAAGCTTTTTGAATTTAAATATTTGAATGTGACTAACTATATAAGAAGTGGGAAGAAAAGGCTTGAAACACAGAGTAGCATACATTTTCAGGTAAGTTATTTTTATATTTAATAATAATAGAAAATATATTTATTTGAGTTTTTATAGTATGCCAGGATATTTGTCTGTCAAGTATTATCTCATCTTATGTCAACACTCATAAAAACCATATGAAGTTGATAATACTCATTTCTGTTTACAGCTAAGGAAATAGAAGTTCAGAGAACATAAACAGCCTGCTTTCATTTACCTTGTAGATAGATTAAAAAATCAGTCTATCTTTCTCAATTTCTTTTCTTTGGTACCAGGGATTGAGCTCGGGTCCTTATGCTTGCAAGGCAGGCCACCAAACCACTGAGCTAAATCCCCAGCCTGACCTTTCTTGATTTATGAGATCCTTGACCCCAATCTTCATCACTCTCCATTAAAATCTTCAATCAAAATAGTTTTACTAATAAATCATTAGAAAATCTATGCAGAGCAAATTTTAAAATGAGATTTTTATTGTCGGTTATTTTCTCAAATTCTAAGGCAGATAAATAGTCTGTATTGAAAAATTACATCTACCCTGGCTAACCTCACATGTTCAAGTTCCATTGTGGAAGAAAAAAAGGAAATGGCTAGAACAGTGGCTGCTTCCCTGGGAGGGTTGTTACAGTTTTAGGATTAAAATAGCTTTTGGATCTATTTTTTCAGTGGATGCACTGACCTGGACAGATAGAAATATTTAAAGTAGAGAGGATAGCAGGTTCCTACACATTACCCAAGGAATCCAGAAAATCTTATAAATTTGACATCCAGCTAAAGGAAATATCTGTACTTCATATGAGTCCTAGAGAAGAAAATTCCATTCCCCAATAAATCATTAAGTCTTCCTATTTAATTACTTTAATTGGACTTCTTTGCAATAAAGCTATTAGTCTATATAAATTTAGAACATTTTTGACTGCCATAGTATTTGTTAAATTATCTCAGAATTTCAATGCTCTTGTTTTAAGTTCACATTAATAATCTTGTTATTACTGAACTGTATTTGCATGAATTTTTAAGTCTATTTAAAGTCATAAAATTACTAAGTTTAGAAGAAATCATATCTGCACATTACTCTCCCTTTTGTATATTTCTTGGTAGCAAATGCATGTTGTTGGAAAATGTCAGTTAACTTCTTAACAGAACTTTACAAATTATTCACGGCATTTTCAGGTTTTTAAATCAATGTAATCAGTTGCAAAGGGAAGTAGGCTAGTGCATGGAAATTAGTTTGCTTTAATTAGATTTTGAGTCCATGAGTGTAACTATCAACTGGGCACAACATGTAAGTAAATCCAACTTATTTTCCCTTTGAACACCAACATTATGTTGTACTTAACTGGGGGGGGGGATTATTATAATTTTTTAGAAAGCTTTGTGTTTTGTTTTTCTTTATTGCTGGCCATGATTTGTGTCCCTTATATGTAGGAATATCAGTATGAAGTTGGGAAAACAAAGGATGAACTTTATTTCATACAACTCTCTGGTGACACGAAAGGGCACATTATAGTTCAGGCATTCTCTGCTTACCTTTTCTTCATTTTCTACACATTTTTGCAATTTTCAGTTTCTTTTTCCAAGTGATTTTTCAGGCCCTCTTTTTTCTTAACTCCTACTTAACCACACTAGACTGAATCACCTGCATATGAACTACTGTGGCAATTTCTCCATGTTCTCTCATTCTCTAATTCTCTTCAGTGAAGCCTGCCAGGCCCTTTTCTCCTATATTTTGGCTGATAATCAGGTTTATAAAAAAAAAGAGTTCCTGAATCAGAAGCAAATCTAGGTCTGCATACAGCTTTTGTCACTCCTTTCTGGTGGCATCTCAAACATATAATTCAACCTTTTTGGGCCTCAGTTTCTTTATCCTTAAAATGAGGAATTTTAGCCAGATCTTCTCAAAGGCTCCATTTAGCAAAAAGTTCCATATCCCACAACATTAAAACCTTTAGTCCGTTCTTAATTGTCTCACTTCTCTCTCTTCAAACTCTTCCCGCTTAAACTGATCTGAAAGGTTTTTTCTAACTCATGTTTTAAATTCTTTGCCCAAATAATTTCTTGATATAGTAGGTCCCTAGCTTAGGGTGGTTCAAATTAAGATTTTTTGACCTTATGATGATACAAAAGCAGTACACGTTAAATAGAAATGGTACTTTGAATTTTGCTCTTTTCCTGGGCTAGTAATGTATGGTAGCGTATTCTCTTGTGACACTGGGCGGTAACAGTGACCCACAGCTCCGAGAGCCAGTCACCAAAGGTCTACAGAGTACTGTGTTGCTCAACTATGACGTCTGTTAGGTTAAATGCCCTAATGCATATTCTTCTTGTAATGTTTGTCAACTCGTAATGGGTTTATCAAGATGTAACCTCATTGTGAATGTAGAAGCGCCTGCACTTTTTGCATCTCTAACCTGGCTAACTTTAAAGCTTTGCCGTAAGTAACCAAATGACTGACACTTGAAATTTCTTTCTTTTCAATGGAGAAAACATGCAATTTTTTTCTATTTTTAAAAAAATAGACACAGTACTTTAGGGGACTATGTCCATGTCCTAACAGCTAGACATTTGTTTCTTACTCTTTCTTTGAGCTTAGGCAAATTTTACTGACTTTTCAGTAAACTATAACTCTAGTTTACTTAACTATAGGATAGACCTTAACTATAGGATAGGACCTCATTTTATATTTAGATTTCCTTTATTTTGTTGTTATGAGAATCAAAAGGGATAATTTATTTGAGAACATTTTATAATTTATATAATGTCACACACATATAAACTCTTATTCTTGTTTCTATAAAAGTTCCTCAGCTCTTCATTTCAGTCCACTTTACCCTCTTTAGCCTCTTCTATTAACTATATTCGTTTTTCCTCTCAATCTTTTCTTCCTTGCAACAATTTCTATCTCAAGCACCTCAAACTTGTAAGGAAATAAACATCTTTCATTAAATCACCAAGACATCATCTGTGAAGTGATACCTAGCTTCTCATTCATGTTAAACCTCAAATAATAAGTCATACAAAATTAAACTGTGTCATATGTAGTAAAACCTGGACTCAGAATATGTTCCTCCATCTTGTCCTTTTAAAAGTGTAAAATGCACACAAATGTGGTCTGTGTTTTTACTACACAACCTAGGGTCACTGAAGAATTGAAACAATAAATAGCTGGGCTCACTGGAGTCCTTTAAGGCGACATAGATAAAAACAACAGATAAAAAAAAGTCTTTCCTCTACTAGAATTAGAAAGTACAAACTTTGAAGTAGTCCACCTAAAATTTCACTGATGTCAGATTTTCAAACTAGTTTTGAATAATTAGATTTGTCTCATGTCATTTATGTTCATTTAAAATTGATTTTATTATTCTTGATGATTTCATATCTTGATTAGCTGGCTTCTGTGTCAATATGTAACTCCCATTACTTTTATCTCTTTATATAGTAATGAGTTACACACAGGCAAAGAGCAATACGTATACTCCAGAGAACATTTTTAATTATAGAGATAATAATAGTATGCTCTCCCTTAACTCTATCTGTGGTAGCTGTTTAAAGGTGTTATTTCACACCAGTATCACAAGTGTCCTAATAAGAAAGATCAATTATTTGAAAACCAGGTTAGTTCTCTAACTCCAAGATATAAGTTGTTGAGAGTTGGACTACTTCATACTTTAGTATACTGAGAACATTGTGTGAGGAACATAATTATGATTGTGATTTGCATATTTTAAAATATTATGTTATTTATTTTCAGGGCAAAACTTTCCATTAAATTTCTCTAATAGGTTGCAGAGATAAGGACAGAATCTGAGATACTATCAGAGTTGGGAAAAGTAGGAAAAAGGGCAGCAACAGCTATTTCACAGAATGGATACATAATTAGAGTTTTGTTTCCTTAAATCACAGAAAAAACAAACTTCCCTCAAAAGGAAAAGTCACTGTCAAAAGATTAGATTTAACATCCATAGTTTTAACTTGTAGAGACCCAAAGGAAATATGTACCTATAGTACATCATAAAATAGTCACTCCCTTTAGTTAAGCAAGTTTTTGTGTTTTTACTAGAGGTACATGTCAATTTAAGGTAAGGTTTTAGAACCAGAATAAAGATTTGTTTTTGCTCTGACATTATAATAGGGACTGCAAATGTTTAATTTTAAATTTCAAAGGAAAAATCTACACTGTAAAACAATAATAAGCACCACGAATTGGGTATTTGACTTTGTATGGAAGGGAAAGTGAATAGTATAATGTGATGGACAGTCATCCAGAAATTGGTAACTTGTTCTTCTAACTGAACTGATGCCAGCAGACAGATACATGACCAGACGTTGACCATTTCATTTCTGTAGAGTCTGTTTTGTAATACTTTGTTTAGCCTCTGGATTTGGTCAACTGTTAGCATCAATTTTATTTCTAAATTTTTTGTTTCGTATTTCTGAATGGAAGATAACTCTCTGTATGAGTCTTCCCTATCATGTTTGACTTGGATACAACTTCAGTAATGAAGCTCATTTATTAAATCAGACAAAACGCATAATTTCCTTACCTCTACAATTCCTATTTTTCCATCTTCTCTCTGCCCATACTGATCCACAAAAGTTTTCATCTCAGGTGATAACTCCTAAAATTACATAAGATCAGGTAGAAGTTTATAAAAAATATGCAGTTATACTTGTGATGGTGTTAATAAATTACTGCAAGGAGAAGCTAAAATTGAAACCATTTAGAATTATACATGATGAGCTACTATCATTAAATTAAAGTCATAAATGATACACAGTATTTATTAGTTTCAAATGAAAGATTTATGATTGTGCTTATTCTGGAATCAATCATTATGATTTATTGTCTATTATTAGTTTTCAGATTATGCTATCTCTTGAAAATATAGTCAAATTATTCAATTCATTAGCATTAGTGAATTTAAATATAATGATGGCTGTTAATATACTTTAAACATTACTTTCTTCATTGAAGGTTGTATTTTATTGTTATATTATCTTGTCCCCTGACATTTTTATTATTCCAGCCCAATATTTATCTGTGGAAATTAATAAAATGTATTTTTTTGTTTGGACAAGCAAAGCACATAAATGTTGAAGAGTAACATATTTGTAAGCAAGGAATATTTCCAGCACAAAACAGGCATTCATTGACTAAGTAAATTTAAAAATTAAAGACTTGGGAAAAGTGTGCAATGAAAAGGGACTTGACCAATTTTTACTTTCACTGACAGACACACGATTTTGATGACCTTAGTTTAGAACACTGATATTATGCTTGTGACCTTTGCTTCCAACAGTACCATAGAAGCAGTGTCCCAGTGTTGCCTTGTGTTCACTTTTTCCACAATGATATTCTCTCTGCCATATATTTTAGTACAATAAAGCAAGTCTAGGAGTGACACAGTGGATGCTATCTTCTCATTTGGCTTGTTTCTCTCAATATGTTAAATTACTTTTATAATCCCTTTACATATTGACGGATTAGAGAGATATTAAACTATAAGCTAGTGATCTGAACATAGAGCTGGTATTCAGGAAGTTTAATTTTTTACCCTTGAGTCTTAAACAGAGCCTATTTAAAATAGCCCTGTTGCATTAACCAAAGCCATTTTAAAATAGGTCAGCCCTTACTCATATTCTATTCTATGTCCTTGGGAATGTAAATTAAGGTCTCAATTTTCATCATAACTAAAAAGATGGTAGTTATCTAGCACATGTTTGCTCTAGGGATAGGTAGGTTATTATAACTTAAAGGCTATGTTGAGGCTAAATAATAGTATGAGTAGCATTTATAAAATCCTTTGAAATTAATGTAAATACTCTAGTTGAAATAACGTGATAAATAGCAATAAAGCAATTTAATTAAATTGTAGTCTTAAAAGAAGTCTTCTGTGAACAGATTGCAATTTACATTTATTAAAATTTGATACAGGAACAATTATAAGAAAATAAAAGTGTCAACTCCATGGCAACATTGGGACTGAGTCCCTTTACTTTTTATACATATCTTTATGTAAACAAAAAACAAAGCATCGAGTCTTAAAGATTAAAACTGATTAATATGACTAGTTTAACTTACAGACTTGATATTTAGTCTGAAATTTCTGGGTGACAGTTGTATCAAAATCCACTTTTTGAGCAGTTTGAGACATAGTCATCATCAAAGATTCATACAAATCAATGCAAATTTAAAGATAAAACACCATGTTTCCTGTAAAATGGTAGTGGTTTCAGAAGTATATTGGGGTGTTGTAATTCACTGGTGTTACATTCACCTTGGTGAAAGTTTTGAAATTTCACATTAGTAATATGTCATGCCAAACCAGTGTTTCCCTTAATGCAATGAAATGTGCTATACGGTGGCAAGAAATGCGAAGAAGTCTGTTTTATAAGGTTAATCTTCATATTTTTAAGAAAGAAAACATGTAGAAGTAGGCTAATGGCAATGAGCTGCGTAGTATTATGAAACATGTGTCTAACATATGAACCTCTTAATCTAGATCTGTGATTTTTAACTATTCAAAGCCTATCCATACAACCCAGAAAATACTCAAGCATAAGGTATTAAGCAACTTGACAAAATCTTGTGCCTGTATTCAAGTTGAGTACTATTGAATTCTAATTTAATAATTGGAGCTTCATATAGCTCAAAATGGAGGCTAGGCAGTAGAAGAAATAATTAAGGTATAAACTCAATAAAACTCCAATATGAATACATTATTTACATAAAGGTACAAATATTAAAATGAGAGGTGAAAAATCTGAAAAAAATGTATTAATCCCAGGATAAAAATAAATTTAAATGTACTCATTTGGTTGCTGAAAGCATCTTCCATCAGACTTTCCAAACAGAATTTTAAATAGGAAGAGAATTTCTTTTTCTAATAAAGCTAAAGATCCATAGAACTGTAATGGCAGTGTTGCATAAATTTTTTAAACAGTAATGTGTAAGGTGGGAGGAAGGTGGAGAGTATATAAGATATTTGATTTGATTTGATCCCATTATACTTTTAGATTTATATTAAATTTAACCAGGGTAAAACAATCCCTAGGGCACGATTTGGTTTAAAATGAATTTGACCAATGATTTTAGCAACTGATAAAGTAGTAGTGCATTTTAATACAATTAGAGTCTAGAGTCCACTGGGATTCTTTTGAATATGTTGTACAGAAATGTGTACTATATAATTTTCAAAGTGGAACAAAAATCATTCTACTAGTATATATATATATATATATATACATACATATATATACATCTATATATATATAGATGTATATATATTACTCAATACTAGCAGTGGTCATTTGCTATGCAATATACCCAGTTGATATGAATTTAATTCATAATGTAGAAATTTCTTTCTAATCATAGTTCAAAAAGCTGAAGACCTTTGAATCTAGCAAGCTCTAACCCAACGTTTCCTTCTGAAAGACAGACTTACATAAACCCCAATAGCCTGGTAAAATTCTTAACTCATTTCCCTCTACGTGTTCATCACATATGCTTAAAAGTTGACATTTTATTTGCAGCCTGACAACATTTTTTCTTAAAGCAATGATAAGAATTGTCATATGTTTAATTATAATAACTTAAACCACAAACAGCTTATTTTCAAAATATTATCAATTGTTTCCCATAAGAATATTTGTTAACTTATTTACAATACATAGAATTCTTTAAATTTCTTACTTTTCTAACTTTTGGGGTTTCCTCTCCTACAGAAATGAAAGCCTTTCTTGCCAAATTCTTGCTCACTGTTAGGTTACAAATTGGCCAACTATCATCAGTGAATAGGGTCAAGCAAGGCAGGATTCCTTTTCCTCTCCCTAAGAACTTCAGCGCCATAGGACAAACCGGCAGTAGAATGAGGTTTCTAATCTGCAGATCTGTTTCCTGACCACCAAGGGGCAGAAATGTATTTCTACCCCTTCCTTCTCATGGCAGTAAAAGAGAAGTTAAAAATTACCTAACCAAACCCAAGTGATAGAGGTGATGGTCTGTTCAGGGTTTCACCTATCCATACTTTCAATGCCTATTAAAGCAAGCACAAAATTATCTATTATCCATCTATCTATCTATCTATCTATCTATCTATCTATCTATCTACCTATCTATCTATTTTAAAACCCTGATTTAACATTGTTAAAATTTTCCTCCTTAGAAAACCTCATATTTTTAATCTCTCCCTCCCTCCCTCCTCTTCCCCTTCCCCCCTCTGTCTGCCTCTCTTTTCTTCCCCCTTCTTTCCTTCCACCACCCTCTTATTCTCACTGTGCAATTTGGAAAAAGGAAAGGTGTTCTTTCTCACCTCTCTCAGTTAATAAACGTTTACATTCCCTGCAAAAACCTTTGGCCCCGCTGGCTCTTTATGAAAACACATGCATGTTTATGTTTTAAGGTTGACTTTTTTTTTTTTTTTTCCGCTCTTCATGGACTCGAACCTACCAATCCAGCCTTCTTTCGCGCCTGCAGGAGCTCCTGGATCAAGTTCTGCAGCTCCTTTCCTTCCAGGTAACCACTTCCTGCAAAGACAAAGGCACCCAGGTGTCAGATTTCTCATTCTGAGCTTCTTCTCCTCTCCCTTTTCACCAGAGTTACCTTTCTGGCAACCCGAGAAGCTCTCCCTGGGTTCTGCATTGATTAAGCAGCAAAGGTGGAGCTACCTCCCCTGCCGGGGTGTCAAACTTTAGCGGCATGGAGGACAAAAGGGATGGTGCGGATGCTGAACACGGCCCCAGAAACTTTTGGGGAGCAGGGCTCCCCAGTTCCTGCTGTCTCCGTCCTACCATTATCGTTCCTAGAAAGACGCAAGTGTACGGCGGATTACATGCAAGCAATACAAACTTTCAGGCTGAAGGCTAGGCAGCCAGTCGGGGAGATAGGGTTAGGCAGAGTAGAGGAAGAAGTAAAGAATAGAAAAAGATGACAGTAGGTTCAGGTAGCTCTGGGGGGTCAAAAGAGGAAAGAGGAATGGAGTATTGAAATAATTAAAAACAAGATAGTCACCGTCAGAGTCGAAATGAAGCCAGATCTCGAAAAACTGTTTGGCTGTGATCAGGGATGACTGCAGGTGGGATTCTGCCATTGTATAGCGAGGAGCGTGCCTGCGGTGTGAATGTGAGAGAGTGCGAGTGTGTGTCGGTGCGGAGCGCCCGGGCGGAGGCGGACGAAGACCAGGAGCTGTCCTCGGTGCTGCTCTGCTCCGGCGAGCCTCCGGATTCTCTGCACCCCGCACCCAGTTCTCGGATATTTATCCCGACGGCTCCAAACCGGCCACGCCTCCTCCTGCCTTCCTTGCCTCTCTCCCCGCCTCTTGTTCTCACCAACCTGCTTCCCCTCCCTCCTAGTTTTCTGCTGTCTTCCCAGGAAAGCTAGCTGGGGCAGGGATTTTGGAGTCTAGGAAGCAGCAGGTGGTGGGAGATCCCTTGCTTAGAAACTGGGTGCTGAAACAGAAGCTCGTTTTCCCTCACATGTTTCTAGCTCAGGGTGACTCTTATTCCAGAATACTGTAGCAGAACAAACCAAAAAGGATTTGATTTTTCAGATGGAAAGGTAAAGCTGATGAAGGGGAAAGCCATGTAAACAGTGATTATGTTTGCATGCAATTTCCCCAAGGCTTTTTAGCATTTGTTTGGACAAAATCAGGTAAAAGCTCAGAAAGTCTAAATTTGATTAATGTATCAAGTGAATCGACTGATGTCAATAAGCACAATTTTATGCTTGTGAAGACCATCATTCGAATGTTTCTTCAAAACAGTTCATAGGAACTGTATTGTCAACACAAGAAAGCAGAATTAAGGCTGTTCTTGTTCTAGTTGAAATAGAATTATTATTGGAAAGCAATAGAATTACATTATAAAATATTAAGATGTTAGATAAGGAAGCGATCTTAGAAATTCACTTTCTTGAAATTTAGAAAAAATAAACTGCAGCAAAGGGAAGGTGGGATCTGGTCACTATGAAAATTTAGATTTTCACATCAGTTACCTTATCTGATTATCATTATAGTTTCTCAGTTGTCATCACATGAGATAAACTAGAATTTGCAAGGTTAATAACTTTATATTCTTTGACTTAAAAGAGATCCAGTTATATGTACTTTCATCCAATGAAAAATTACTAACATTTACTGTATCGAACACTCAGCTAGATACTGAACAAAATGAAATAAGAGACACAGTCCCTGTCTCCTGGAATCTTAGACTTACGGGAATGTCACATAAGCACACATGATAGCACATACTGATAGAATGGAAGTATGCACAAGCTGCTGTTGTGTGTAAGCTTTCTAAGTTTTTTACTGTGCGAGATTTCAAGCCAAAGTTACCTATACTCTCACAGAAAACATTATTTCATTTTTTTTTTTTTACTATGAGGAGAAATGGTTATGGGAAACTAATTTTAAAAAGACTCTTTTTTGTCACTATATTTGTGGCCAGAATCTTTATATGAAAAAAAAATGGAATAAGGACAATGGAATGTTAGAAAATAAGCTGTGAATAGAAGGGGTGAAAAGAAAACGGTGACTAGGCAATGATTTGAAATTATACTGTGACCCTTTTTAGTCCTGACAGAGCTGACTATGTCCTGTGTAGGCCATGGGAAATTTTGAGATAAAACTGCCAGAAAATAATAAAGAAATATAAACTGAACAAACTGATGAAAAGAAAGCATTTTTATTATTTTTATAATTATACTAATGTATTCTCCAAATAAAACCCTCCTAACCTACATCCTTAAATACTTGAAGTGTTCTAGAATCTTATTTTAAATTCCAAGTAGTGATGAGAACATTTAAATTTTGAAAAACTTTAATCAAGAAGCACTTTCTATAACTTTTATTATATGAAAAGTTCTTTCATTTCCCTTTTCTGAAACTATGACAACTTCAGAATTTCCATGTGACAATGTTTAGGCATTGTGAATCGATGGGGTGTAGGGATAAGAAAGAAATAAAAGACATTGTTTCTGCTTCTTTTATATTTGTGTGGAGTGATTTCTGAGGGGAATAACATAGATTTTGGAGACTTAAATTCACCTTTAAATCAGTTTTAATGCTGCTACCACCTTGCGGAAATGGCTATTAAAATTGTCCTATTTATAAAAACATACAAATATACATGCATAAATTTTTGTTATTGTTATTTGGTTTTTACAGAAAAGGGGATATGTTCTGGATATTACCCTCTGACTTTTTATCATTAATTAAAGGACATCTATCTAGTGCTAACATTAACATCTAATTCGTACTTTTTGAAACAGTTATTTGATTTTTCCATTATTGTAGACAGCTTTTTTCTAGTGTTTAACTGTGACAAGTAATGTTGTAGCAAACATTTCCACACATTTATCTGAGATACATGTGTTTATTTTATTTTATTTTATTTTTTTTGGTACTGGGGATTGAACTCCGGTCCTTGCGAGATACATGTGTTTCTAATAAAACAGAAGAGAGTTCTCAAAGTGGCATGTTAGTTCAAAAATATGCATATTTATATTTTAATACACATTTCTAGGTTATTTTTTCCAATTTGCAGCAACTCATACTGAAAAGAGCAAAGTGTGGGGTTACCTTATCCTCATTGACTCTGAATATTATTTTTTTTAAACTTTTGTACTAATCTAGTAAGCAAAGAATGGGTTATGTTTATTAGTTCTTTATTTTGCATTCACTGGTAATTCTTAAAATTTTACTTTTTAGTTTTCTAGGGTGGAACTTTCATTCCTTAGATAATTTAAGCAGCATAAATATAATTCATGAAAAAGGAATGGTCTTGTTGCTTTGTCAGGAGGTTTTGTTTTCCTGTCCTTTTTTGTAGAGCATACTTGACATCTTTTTGGTTTTCCTGTTGTTGCTGTGGTCTTTGTGATGTTGCACCTTCCTGTCCACCTGTCAGCTCACCAGTGAGCCACGCTCACATTCCATTATGGTAAAGTACATGTTTACTTAACAGAAGAATGATGTGGGTATATTTTACCCACCTTAATGCTCAGGTAAACATATGCAAAAGCTGTTAGAGCAGTATGTGGGTAAAAGTCCCAGTGTGACACTTTTGCACAGGTGGACACACCTTGCCCTTTTTTGTACCAAGTGGGTAAACACAGACTGATTCCTGTATCCCCAGGCACAGCTACTGAGATGCACAGCTGGCTACTATTATGCTAAAGTATAACTTTGCATTAGAAAAGTATGGGATGAGTTATTGTAATCCAATGTCATGCCCTTTATGTCTAGGATTCTGAAAGAATAATGAGAAGATTTTTTCATAAGATTGGAGTTTCTAAAAAGAGTATTGCAAACAGAGCATTTTTATGACTTGCTTTATAGGCCTTGTTACCTCACCTTAAAGTGAATGGGTTCATGATTCCATATTGTCATAAAAGTAGAAGCAATCTTTGTGGAAAAAATTCCACAATAATTAAATTGCATTTTCCATTTCATGTTACTAAATTACTACATCTCTATTCATATATTCATCAACTACAGGCAGTACAGTTCACTTTGCAAATTGGAAGGCCTAGAAATTCTCAGAGTTAATAAATGCTTACTGAGTTTCCATTCAGAAAAGGAAACTCAAAATTATTTTCCTGTGGCTTCAGTTGCATGGGTGAATATAATGAATCACTCTCCCATGACATCTCATTTCCTCACATGAGGGTCCATAATAGATGAATTAAGCCTTCTGAGAGAAGTTCATGGTTTCCCCCACTATTGTTCTCCAAAGGATTCCTCATCTGCATCATCTTGTCTTTTTATGTAGTTTTCTCAAAGGTTAAAGGATTTTCATAGATTTAGTAAGGGAACTCTATCCTCTGACCTAGTCAGGTATTATGGGAAATATTCTGGATGCCACAAATTTTAAGAGAACTGACCAAATGTGGCTTATTTAGGGGATGGAAGAAAGGTTCAGATATAAACCTGTGCCACATACATGGCAAGTTGTGGAATGAAAACGAAGTTTGATTTGGAGAGGCTTTCTGTAAATATTTTCAGAGCTCACCTCAGAAGTGACTGTTTAAACAGATTTCTCAGTTTCCATTCTTTCTAAAAAGATGGTCTGTGTATAAGATGGGTACAAGTCTTTCGCAAGAGCACCCGTTACTCACACAGATTTATTGACAAAAGTATATTATTCAGGGCGCTATAATGGTGAAGAAGACAGTAAATCTGTGTTCTCAGGGCTTTGCAGTTCAGCAGGGAAGGATGTAAACATGGAGGCTGAATGGCTGGCTGGGAGGAGATTGAAGAAGAGGTATGTGCACTGGTTTGTTTTCATTTTGAAACTTTTGTGGTTTTTCCTATCTCTTTAATTTTATAATTTTGTGACTGCGCTTGTACTGGATAATTTTGTGGTAACATGCATTTACAAAATAGATTTCTAATAAAGCAGTAGTCTGTAGCCTGGAGCAAAAATGGTTTTCTTGATGACAAACTGGCACACTTTGGAATATTCTGAAATCTTTAGTCTGATTGAATACTTTAACTAAAATCTCCTGAATTACAACAACTAGTAAATATTTTACAAGTATTTTAATTCACCTTAACCATATGTTTTTTTTTTTTTTTTTTGAGACTGGGTTCTTGCTATGTAGTTGAGACTGACCTGGAACTCACTATGTAGCCCAGGCTGGACTCGAACTCACAGCGATCCTTCTGCCTCATTTATCAAGTATTTTTATAGTGATAACTAAAGTCATCAGGATTTTACAATTGATTCTAATTTTCATCATTTTAAAGTTCCATATTTTTCACATTTTAATAATTCCGAAATATGCATCTTAACAGTTCTTGCTCTATACTGACCTGGAACTCACTATGTAGCCCAGGCTGGACTCGAACTCACAGCGATCCTTCTGCCTCATTTATCAAGTATTTTTATAGTGATAACTAAAGTCATCAGGATTTTACAATTGATTCTAATTTTCATCATTTTAAAGTTCCATATTTTTCACATTTTAATAATTCCGAAATATGCATCTTAACAGTTCTTGCTCTATAATTAGCAGGATGACATATGATAAACAAGCATCTTAAATCATTTGTACACCAGGATTGGTGATGCACATCTGTAATCTCAGCACATAAGCAGCTGAGGCAGGAGGATTGCCATGAGTTTGAGGCCAGCCTGAATTACATAGTGAGACCCTGTTTCAAAAAAACCAAACCACAACAACAACAATAAATCAACTGTAGTTTAAAATTGAAATTTGTTAGTTATCCTCAAAAGATTTTAGTGTCA